GGCCTCAAGCAATCCTCCTGCCATGGCCTCTTGAAGTGGTGGAATTACAGGCATGAGCCACTGTACCTGGACAACAATTTTTTTTTTTTTTTTTTGAGACAGCTTCGTTCTTGTTGCCCAGGTTGGAGTGCAATGGCACAATCTCGGCTCACTGCAACCTCTGCCTCCCAGGTTCAAGCGATTCTCCTGCTTCAGCCCCCTGAGTAGCTAGGATTACAGGCGCCTGCCACCGCGCCCAGCTAATTTTTTGTATTTTTAGTAGAGACCGGGTTTCACCATGTTGGCCAGGCTGGTCTCGAACTCCTGGCATCAAGTGATTTGCCCGCCTTAGCCTCCCAAAGTGCTGGGATTACAAGCATGAGCCATCGTGCCTGGCCCTGGACAACAATTTATTTACAGATGGACTGAAACACAAATGGGAGAAAGTATGTGCATTTGTTTCCTGTCCTGGGGCCCCAACATGGCAAACATGGTATGTGAGCCAGAAGGGAAAACAGTGAGTTCAGGAAAGGAAATGAGCAGAAAAGGAAGAGGAAAGGAAGCAAAGCAGGTCTCAAAGGTTCCCTGGGTGCTGCGCTGTCATCTCCTCCCTTTTATTAGGCAGTTGGGGTAGTGGTTAAATGCAGACTTTAAGTTTACAGGAGAAACAGGCGACAAAGGAACATGCTAACCACTACCAGAGAGATGCCATCAGCTACATTGAGAAGGAGGGGAATTCTACAGGGACGAACAACTGTTTCTTCAACAAAGAGGAAGGGAAAAGAGGAAGAGAGAACTAACAGATTAAAAGATACAAAAGAGGCCAGGTGCAGTAGCTCACGCCTGCAACCCCAGCACTTTGGGAAGCCGAGGCGGGTGGATCACCTGAAGTCAGAAGTTTGAGACCAGCCTGGCCAACATGGCAAAATCCCATCTCTACTAAAAATACACAAATTAGACAGGCGTGGTGGCGTGTGCCCGTAATCCCAGGTACTTAGGAGGCTGATGTAGGAGGATCACTTGAACCCGGGAGGCAGAGGTTGCAGTGAGCTGACATCATGCCACTGCACTCCATCCTGGGTGACAGAGAGAGATTCTGTCTCCAAAATAAATAAATAAAAGATACAAAAGAGATACCCAAAGGTAATAATATGTGGAACTTACGGGATCCTGATTCAAACAAACCAACTACAAATAAATTATGTCATGATCAGGGAAATATAAATAGTGACTGGTTACTTGATGATATTAAGAATTAATGGACCAGACATGGTGGCTCATGCCTGTAAATCCCAGCACTTTGGAAGGGTGAAGCAGAAGAATCGTTAGAGGCCAGGAGTTTGATACCAGCCTGGCAAAACAGCAAGACACCTGTCTCTACAAAAAAAAAAAGAAAGAAAACAAAATATATATATACACACATATACATACACACACACACACACATATATATATGTGGCCATGCATGGTGGCACACCCCTGTAGTTCCAGCTACTCTGGAGGTTGAGGCCTGAGGATTGCTTGAGCCCAGGATCTCAAGGCTGCATTGAGCCATTAATTACTGTTCCACTGTACTCCAGTGTGGGTGATAGACAGAAACCCTGTCTCTAAAAAAAAGAAAAAAGAAATAATGATTTTAGGTGTGTTAAGGGCATGGTTATGTTAAACAAATAAAAAAAACCATTAATATCATGTGATAAAGAGAGCACTTCACCTCTGTGATATTCTTACCTCCAAACCCGTAACTCCGGTCTACCCAAAAGAAAGACATTAGGTAAACCCAAGTTGACGGACACTCTATAAAATATCTTCCAAAATTGTCAAGGTCATCAAAAACAAGCAAAGTCTGAGAAACTGTCCCAGGTACTATGACTGCCACAGACCAGAGGAGGCTAAAGAGACATAATGACTAAAGGTAACATGTTCCTGGATGGGATCCTGGGACAGAAAGGAGACATTAGTGTAAAAAAATAGTAAAGTTAAGTCTGGAGTGTAGTTAATGATAACGTACCAATGTTAGTTTCTTAGTTTTGAAAAATATAAAGTGGCAATGCAAGACGATAATAGAGGACAATGGGTGAGGGCTAGGCAGGAATTGTCTTTTGACTTCTCTAAGTGTGAAATTATTCCAAAACAAAGAAGTTTATTTGAAAAAAACCTAACCAAAGAGTCCTTATTTTTTAGAGACACCTACTAGTAGGTTCAATGAAATGATGGGATATTTGGGCTTTGCTTCAGAATAATTCATTGGTTGGGTTGTGGGGATGGGTGTATAGATGAAACAAGGCTGGCTTTAAGTGGGCAACTGTTGAAGCTGGATGATGGGTGCATAGGGGTTCACCGACAACTGTCTCCAGATTAGTATGTTTGTAAACTTCCATAATAAAGTTGACAACAAACAAATAAACAAACAAACATGAACTCTGGAGCCAGACTTTCTGGGAAGTTACTTAATCTGTTTGTGTGCTGCAGTTTTCTTACCCATAAATTGGAGATCATTGCACCTGCCTCACAGTGTTGTTGTGAAAATTCAGTAAGTCAATACACAAAAAGGCTGGAATGATGCCTGGCTATTGTCACCATCTTACAGAGAGAAAGATGGTCACAGACCACCAACACCCATCACCCTTTCTTCACACTCTGACCCTCCACAGCCTCCACCCTCTTTCTCCCCCTGTTCTCTTGCACAGGGAGACCCCTGAGGGAATAAAGAGGAGTTCTAGAGTGACTCCAAGGAATAAGGAAAGACCTTGTTGGGGAATAAGAGTCATGTCCCTGGCATGGGTGCTGGGAATGAATCCTGGATTATCAACTACTTTGAAGCAGGCTTCTGTCAGGCCAGCACAAGGTACTATAAGCATATATTACACAATTATTACATGCCAGAGCAGGACACAGAGATGTGGGCTGGGCCCTAAAGGAGCTCATCAACCCAGTATATACATGGCCAATCTTTGTGTCTTTAGACTCACCTCCTTAAAGACACCCCAACTCTGGAATATCTCAGCACTGATTAATCTTACACTGTCAAACATGCCCCCACTTGGTTGCAATTTTATAAGATCCCTAAGGGACAATTTGGAGAAAAGTTGGTCCACCTTTCCAATCACAACCTTACAAGTCAATTTAATTCAAGTCCACAAAGCCCTACTGAATTGTCTCCAGGATATTCATGTATACAACAAACCTTCATTAAGTACCTCTTAACTACCAGGCACTGTGATGAGCCTTGGAGGGTCAACAGGGAGTGAAGGCAGGCACAGCCTCCACTTCCACAAAGTCCACAGTTGAAAGGGAAACACAGATGGCAAAGAAATACTCATCACAAATCAATGTATACACTGAGATAGGTGTTTGCAGTAAGGAAACAGTCAAAAATTCAACCTGGGAGTGGCAGGAGGCTTCTCCAAGAAAGTGATGCTTCATGGATACACCAGGGATGAGGAAGAGTGGGAACAAGAGTTGCGGGCAGAGGAAGAGGTGATGTTCCAAGCAGATGGCCCAGTGGTGGGAGGGAACATGGTGGGTTCAGAGGCTGAAAAGCAGCCAGTGTGATGTGAAGGAGGGTGCGAGGTGTGGGTGGTTGGGTGGTGGGATTCAAGGAAGTAGTAGTCAGTGGGGTGGGCCATGTATACTTTGGGGGCCCCTTCAGAAGTTAGGTCTTTATCTCAGAAGCAGGGGAAGCCATTGGAGGGTATTTAAATGTGCAAGGGTGTGGGGAGTCCCTTGATCAGATCTGTATCGTGGGGACTCTGCCTTGCAGAAGGAGGAAGGACTGGAAGAGGGACAGAGTGGAAGCAGGGAGACATGTTGTGACGCTACTGCAGTGACCCAGGAAGTAGACGATGGGGGCTTGGTTTAGGATTCTGGCAGTAGAGATGGGTGGACTTGAGAGCTGTGTAAGAGGTAAGATCACTGGGCCTCTGGTTGCACTTAAAGGGTGAGGGAGAAGAAGGAAAGAACAGGCAGCTCCCAGGCTTCTGGCTGCACTGATTGGGTGACAAGTTGGGCTGCTTGCAGAGCCAGGGAGCCATGCGGCAGGAGCAGGTGTGGACTAGAGAGAAGATCCTTAACATGGATGAATCAGATGCAACATGCTTTATGCAGGTTACTATGCTGGGGAGGGGAGCTTCAAAAGTGGATACAACAAACACTAAATTTTACTGCCTGCAGGAGCAGTGCCAGGAAGAAGTACCATAATGGCTGCAGGAATAGGGTAGCCTCAAATGTTTATCTATTGCTCTAGAGCAGTGCTCACAGTAAAGGGCTCAGTCATATAAGCTACTAAGACATATTTGATAAACGTCCGTTGGGTAACTGAATGTCCCAAGTGCCACATACAGATAACAGACACCAAGGAAAAAAAAAAAAACCACACAAATCTTTTACTCGGCACATTACTATATGCCTAACTTGTCTCTATCAGGGCAAGACAGAGACAGAGAAGGCCAAGTTCAGCCCCTTCTCGCAAAAGGACTGCAGGGGATTTGAGGAAACCAAGTCATCACACAGCAAACATTTAGAAGACCACAGGGCACTGTATGGAGAGCTATGAGGATTCGACTCAGGTGGCCAAAGAGGTGTGCGGGAGGGAGTCTGCAATCTCATGGGACCAGAGGGAAAAAGGGACCAGAGACATAGGGAGCAAGTGTTTGCCTGAGAGGCAGGCCCGACTGAGCCTGTAAGGATGAGCAGAATGGGGGTGGGAGCGGTGATAGGCAATGTAATAAGGTCACTCAAGTCCAAGCAGGGACACCCCGACAATCTCACCCTAGATGGCCTCCTACACTGGAAGGAAGATGTCAGTCTCACCTCGGATACCTACATGCTGAGATGGCCTACTTTTAAAAGGAATTAAAGTCCTGTTAAGAAACACTGGGGACATTTTTTTCAGACGGCTCAGGAGCCAAGTTCCCTAATTATCAGCAAAGCTTGGGGTCCCCCTTTGCTGGAACCAATCCCCCTTCCACCACCACAACAAAAAAAATTAAAAAAAAAAAAAAAAAAGCCACCGCACCGACCTTTGTACAATTTCCTTTCTTCCTGCAAAGTTCTTTTCTGGCCGCCTCGGCTGCCGCCCACCCCCGGCAAGCCCCGGTTCACTTCAGCGGTCTCTCTGCCCGTTTCCCAATAAATTCCGTCTCCTCGGTGCAGGAGGCACGGGAGCCCGAGGGTCTGCGGCGCGGGAGCGGCCCCTCCCCGGCTCCGGTCTCCGGGCCCAGCCAGGCGCCCGGGCTCCGCGTTGCACCCCTGCCTCCGCAGTCCAGGGCCGAGTCGGCGACGCCCCAGCGGGGGTCCCGGAGGGAAAGGACCCCTGTCGCCGTGCCCCGAAGAGCCCGAGCGGGTGTGCCCAGAGCCAGTGCCCGGCGACGCAGGGGCCCAGGCGCGGGAGACCCTCCGCAGAGGAAGCAGCGAGGGAGAGGCTGGGGGGGTTCCTGGGCGACAGCCCCTCGGAGGGACGACGGCCCCAGGGGATGACACAGCGTTTCCCTCACACGCCCTGGCTACATCCCCGCAGGGCATCGGCCGGCTTGCTGCGCCAGCGAATCCTCAACCCAAGAAGGGGAGCAGGGACAGGGGACGCCAGACCGCCGCTCGCCTCGGCACTCGCCCCCCCAACCTGCCGCGCGCGCCGGGCCCGGCTTGGGGGCCAGGGCTGGGGAGTGACCGCTGGGCGCGACGCTGCCCGGCGGTTCCGCCAGCAGCTCGAAAGGAACGTCAGTCCCCACCAGGGGAAAAAGTTAGAAGGCATCCCGGCCACGCCAACTTCCCTTCCAGGGCCGGACTAGAACTTTGCGCCCGGGGCGGGCGGCTGCACAACCCGGAGCGACCCTGAGCAGCCGCTCGAAGCCGGGCGCTCCGGACCTTGACCGCAGCCAGCGGTGGCCAATCACAGGGCGCCGCGGGCGGGAAAGGCTAGAGGGCGCGGACAGCCGGGGAGTGACGGCGCCAAGGACCAATGGGAAGCCACGGTGAGAGTCCGTGCCCGCCCCGCTGACCAATGGGAAAAGGGTGGCTGTGGCCGAAGTCCCCCCCGGGCTAGCTGCAGGCTCCGCTGGCCGCCGGTGGGAGACCCTCGGGCGGAAGGGGACTTTGGAGGGGAGTTTGCTGGTCGTCTCTCTGCCACCCGCCGGCCCGCAGACCACAGCCCGGTCCTCACCTGCTGGAAGCGGGGTTTGCCCAGTTGGAAAGGAGGTGCATCGCTCGAGGCGTTAGCGGCACTAGCCGCCGCCGCCGATGCTGTAGTCGCTGTATCCGCCATGGCCACTGACGCCCGCAATCTCCGGCCCTTTTAAAATGTCCCTCCTCGGCCCCCGCCACAGCTGCCTCTCCCGATTGGCCCTAAGCAACCGCAGCGAGCGGGAGGCGCAAGGGGTTGTGGGGAGTGTAGTTTTTCGCGTCCCGACGCTTGCAACGCTAGACTGCAGAGAGTTACGGCCGTCCAGGGAGGTCTAGGTGCCCGCTGTCCGCGTTGCAAGGCGCAAGGTCGGCAGCCCAGGAAGGGTGTTCCTGTACGACGACCACGGGCGACCCCTCGCTGCTTACTTGCCCCCAGAAGTTAGAGTGGCTGCCGTGGGCGTCGCTCCTGGGGCCAGGCAGCCCAGAAGGGTCCCATTCAAGTGGGCCCGACTTGGGACCAGATGGGCAAAGACTCCAGGCGGAGTAGGGTTAACCTCGGAAGGCTTTCTGCAAGGAGTTGCACTGCGGAACCTTCTCGTCGTTTCCTCCGTCGCCACCCTGCCCACTCGTCCTGTGCTCTCCCGCTGTCCTGACACTCAGTTCCTGGAGCATGCTGGGGCCTGCCCACCCCGCGACCCCTGAACATTCTGTACCGAGAAGACTAAATCTTCGCCTGATGCTGGCTCTCTTTCTGGCTTTAGCCTAAACATTGCATTTCCCAGTCCATCACTCTGCTTCCACAAAATCCCATGGAGGCTCCGTGGCACCCAGCACTTCTCTTTTGCACTCACAATTACTTACTGTTCTGGATAGTCTTTCTTACTGTAAGGTTCACAGGGCAGGGGCTATGACTTTTTGATTCACTTCAGTTTTCTGAGCCAGACGTAAGAGGGCTCACAGTAGAGACTCAAGTAAGTGTTGGCTGTGAGTTCATCAGTGGGGGATTAAGAGCCCTGACAGCCTTCACCTTGTCTGGCCAAACAAGGAAGATCCCTCCTGGGCCTAATTCCCGGGCAGGAGAAGAACCTGGGACTAGGGCGGGTGGGGAGGGCGTTAGGTAAGGGGGAGTATTACAGATTGTGGAGTAAGCACCAGCATGGATAATGAACACACACAGTTGTAGAATGGATTAGCTGGAGATTCCCAGCTGAATTACCTGGTCAGTGAGCCAGACTTGGGGAGTGGAGAAGCTGCCTCTTTTGCCCAAGATGACAGTAGAAATATTTGGTCTTCTAGGGAACCCCACTTGGGGTCTCATTAGTCTCATGGTGGACTGCAGGGTTGGCTCATGTCTGCCAGTGTTTCTGGACACTACACGGGCTGTGGCAGTCAAAGTTTTTCATCCCCTAGTAGTTGAACCACAAGAAATACTTTTCATAAAGCTGGAGGGAGATTTTAGCTAGCCATGAAGAACAATTTGTATCTTGGATTTGTATCTTATCTTCCCCTGCTAGACCATGCAATTTGAGAATAGGAATCTATTTCTTACCCTCTGTATTACCAATAAATGGGCCCATCTTAGGTGCACAATAAATGTGGGTATCCTGGGAGTCAGAAAATACTAAGTTCAGGCTACTGGGCAACACTGTGTTACTGCCCTGATGTCAGGGCAGGGACAGGGCCATCCAAGAATCCCATCACCCTGATTTAAGGTGCCTTCTCCCACAGCAGCCTCCTGTACCTGTTCATTCCAAAACAGGAACACAACAGAGCCACCTGCAGTACATGAATGTTTTATTCTTCATAAAGTGCTTAAAACATGAAGAACAAGCTCTTTATAAAGAGCCTTACAACTAGGAAGACAAACAGCAAAGCAGAACCATTCCTGCTCCCTGCCCAACCCACCTGCAACTCTCCTCCAAGTGTGGCTAGGAGAAGAAACATCAACAAGGACCCTGGGCTTCAATTCAACAACTCCTCTGAAGCCATCCATGCCCTGGGCATTAGGGAGGCCCACAATCAAAGGTCAGGGTCTGGGCTGGGACTGAATAAAGCCCAGAGGAATCCCCAGTAGGGGGGGGTGACTCCCTGCTCTCAGAAAAGGTACTTACTTCTCTAATACCCAATGACCCCCAAAAGCATGACTGAAACCCTGGGGACCAGTGGACACTTTTCTCAGCTTTGATGAGTGGAGTTTAAGGTAGATAACGTTACAGGCGCTTTCCTCCATGTGTAGCGCTCCTCTGCTCCATCCTGGCGGCAGACAGACATCACCCAGAGGGCACGTGTCTGCCTGAGGCCTTCCAAAAGCAAGCCCACAGGCCCTCTCCTGAAGAAGTGGTGGTCCCAGAGGAGCTCTTGCCTCCTTACTAAGCCATAAGTATCCTCCTTCAGCACCTCGTCACCCCCCATTTTTGCTAATTCAGGGTGCCCCAAGCTGCCAAAGTTCCCTGCAGATGCCTTGAGGAATCCTACCACGTTTTCTGCGAGCAAACCAGGGGCTGGGCCAAATGACAGACACTTCATTTCAAAGTGCACTGCAGGCAAGCCCCTGGGGCAGAAGGGACAGGCTGAGACAGTAGCTTAGTGGATGGATGGGAGGGCAACAAAGGCTTTTTCCTAAGTATAGGTGTCTCCCACAGGCATAGTGGGACCTCCCACTTCCAGGCAAGCTGACTGGTCTAGCATGGCTAAGTCCTGAGGCCAAACAGAATGAGAGTGAGCAGGGCAGCCCCAAGCCTGCCTGCCTGCCCGCCTGCCCAGCAGTGTTTATCCTGGGATCCTCCTATTGGGGTTGAAGGAGGAGAAGACAGCAGGAAGTTTGAGGGAGCAGCAACTTGGCCAGATCAAGAGATTAACTCCAGGGGAGGGGAAGAGCACACAGTAGGGCTGCCCATTCCCATTCCCAGGGCCCTGAGAGAGCCATCCCTATGTACTCAACAGGTGGGAGGGGGACGCCACACAGCGGGAGAGGTCGACATCCAGGGGCTCTTGACCCCGCACACAAAAGGCACATTTTAATTGGTTTCCAAAAGTTCAAACCCTGCAGTAACACAGAGTTTTGGCATCTGGACAGGCAACAAGAATAGACATGGAGGCTTGATCCCCAAAACATAAGCAGCCCCAAGGCCCAGCCTGGAGGGGTCTACACATTGGAGGTGGTCAAGAGCTCAAAAAGCAAAAAGGTATTCTCCCCGCACCCGCCCCTGCACCCCACACTTTCCCATGTGACACTTGTGGAAAGGTCAGAGGAGGCAGGGAGCAGCCTGAAGCACACACATCATCCACCTCTGTCCACACGGCACTCGCCCCACAAACAGCGCCAGACTGAAACAGACTCAGGACATGGCAGAGACTGACCCAGACCACACAGGCTCCTTGCTCTCAGGAGAATGGGTGTGAGGCTGAAGAGCAGGCACCCTGGTTGCCCATAACTCACAGATAAACAGGCAGCGTGGTCGCTGTCCCAGGAATACTAGAAGCCCCTCCAGGGATTGGAGGGAAGTGAAGGGGATGGGGCTTTGGCTGTGGGAAGAAATGGCTGACCATCCTTGGGGGGTAATAAAGTATGTGCTAGCAACCAGTCTTGTCCCAGATTACCGCATCAAGCTACAGCTCACCCCTGCTCTGTCTTGGGGGAAGAGTTCCAATTCCCTGGGGCCCCCAAAGCTGAGGGGTATGAAAACAGGCAGGTGGGAAAGACCCAGGGCTCCCAAAGATACACAAATTGTGCACAGAACCTGATGCCTCCAAAGGGAATCCAGAGGGCCCCCCTTCCAGCAGCCCCAGTCAAGGCAGGAGGGAGAGGAACAAGGAGTGACAAGGCAAGACAGACGATGCCCCACTGCAGATGAGAGAGTTCAGCAGGAGGGAGGGCGGGCAGCAGCAGGTCCATGCCAACCCTCCTGGGGGTGGGGTGAGGAAGGCTATTTGGGGGGGCCCGGGGGGATCTGCAGCAGTGTGGGTGAGGTCTCCATGATCCGCACCAGCAGCCGGTCGATGTAGCTCTCCAGCTCCTGCACATGCTCGTCCCGCTGGCTCAGCTCCCGCTCCCGCTGCAGGAGCAGGCTGATGAGCTCATCGTGGGTCAGGTGGTAGTACTTGGCTGACTGGTCCAGCACAGCTGAGTCCTGAGGCCGGACCGAAGACAGTGAGCAGGGGAGCCCTAGGCCAGGGTGCCCGCCTGCCTGCCCCCCTGCCCGCCTGCCTGCGCCCCTGCCTGCCCCCCTGCCCGCCTGCCTGCTGCCCTGCCCACCAACACCTAAGTTTGACCACCGCAAGGCCCCGGGCTGCCTGTCTCCAATGCCAGAGGCGCCCTAACTGGCTTCAGGACTCTGACATGGGGGACCTGGCCTGCTCCCTGCCCCACCCTCCCCAGGATCAAGCCCTGAGACTCCACCACATATTCTGTCAGATGACCCCCACACCTTGCTGGGCCTTACCTTCAGCTTCTTGGTGTCCACCATCTGGCCAGCCTGGGGGGCCTGGGTCACAGGCTGAATGCTCCCAGATGTTACTGTTTTGAGCTTCTCCAGCCCACTGCTCAGGGCTATGCTCAGACTGGAGCGGGACTGCTTCCTGTCGGGGCTGCCCTCCACAGGGGCGGCACTGAGGGGCTTCACGGGGTGGGGACTGCAAAGACATACAAGAGATGGGTTACACAAAGAGAAGGGTGGCACAGGTCAAAGGTGGGGCTGCTTTCCCTGCGGAGCCTCCAGGTCTGCTGGACAGAAAGCCCAGCACTGGGTGGTAGCTGCCCCTAAAGAGTCA